CAAAGACACGCGGGGACCACGCGATCCCATATCCACGTACGTGCGTCCCACGTGTGCTGAAAAATAAAAGAAGCCGCAAGAGATCCTCCGCTGCGGTAAATTCGAGCGATATTTCTCAACAGACGGAGGCAAGCATATAGGATGCGAATCAAGCGTAGGTGGTATCACGAAAAAAAAGTATCTTTTGTTAAAAAAACTCATTTTAAATAAATAATTAATTTACATGTAGTTTATCATATTTATCGATTTATCTATAAATGTCAGAAATGGAATTATAAGCTCAAAGTATATCTTGTGGAAGGAAAATGTATAAAGAAGCAAAAGATTCATGTCTCATAACTGTCATCAATAATTAATTGTTGCGATATAATTAATTGATACGTGTTAACTTAGAACATAAACAATGCTGGTATGGCACGAGCACGCCCCGAGATATGCATCGGCAATCGATCATTATTCGTCCGTACGTTGGTTATTGCGACGGAGTAACGCGTCGTATAATGAGACGTGGCCGTTGGAGAAGCTCGCTAATAATAACGCGTGCAATCAAGCGCTCGAGTTCGAGAGATGCCGTTTCTATTGCCGGCATACAGGAAGAAGAGTCGGTCCAGAACTGTCCGCGTTCGACGTTGACCACACAACATTGGCCGTCAGTGAATAGATCGACGTGCAAACGCGATATTTCACCCTCGATTTGCGCAAATTGGTCTTTAAGAGATATTGGCTTTCGGAACTGCAGACAAAAGAGGCTGTTGCAGCAATTAATTACCAAGACGCTAAATTGTCCTTTGATATCTCCAATATTATAAAAAAGATATCTATATAAAAACGTGATAAATATGTAATAAAATGAGCTCCAGTTCTTCATCTTCGATATCATATATTCATCTCGAATAAATTTCAGAAATCAACCATAAAAGAAAAATCATTGGATTATTTAAAGAAAATAAATTTCTTAATGCCTAGAATGGAAAATTGCACTTTGAATCATAAACGAAAAAAAAGAGTAAGATATCTGTGGCTCTCTATACGCAATCCGCAAACTCTTACTTCCGTAATAATTCCGTCAAATCAGGCGAGTAGGACGATTGCCATAGGCAGAAAACAGCTACGGTCGTTAGGAGGAAATGGTTTTCAAAAGGGGAGTGTCAGAAGGGGAGAATGGGGGTTTGTTCGCTCACCTCCTGTCCTTACGTCTGTCATTCGAAACACGCAACACACTCTTTCACACGGCACGCTATTATTACACCGCGTTGACCGGTACCACTAGCCGCATATCTGTATATATTTATTTACACTTATACGTCTGTACGATGTAAAGAGTGTTTTCGTACAAATACAGGAATCCGCAAGACTCGCGGAGGAGAATCCTTGCTAACGAAAAGAATTTGTGTGATAATCAAATGTTTGTGATTCGCATTCCACCGATCACGTTCTCACTTATCTATACTCATCTCAGGAAGAAATATATTAAATAATGTGAGAAAAACTCGCGCATACTCGAGTAATTACTGTACATATTAAAACGATACTCGACATCTTCTATAAATATCAGCAAGATCTGCCAAGAGTATATCATAAAATACGAGGGCAAATGAATTTTCTTAATGACTACTTGCAGTCATTAGTCATTAAATTTCCAGAGAACATTTTTCTTCATGATAAATTAGATGTACAATATTTGCATCAGTCCTCTCGTGTTTCTTCTCTCGAGTATTCGCGTTTGAATGATATGAATAACATGTAAAAATAACTGTAAAATAAAAGAAGCAAAACATCGACCCAGCTATATCTTAATTGTTAACAGACAAATAAAATAGGTCATCAAGGGTGAACGTGTCGTTGCAAAAGCGGCTCTATTCCTAAATCGCGTGATCTTTCGCGCTGATACTGAGTTTAACAGGAAGTCTTTTACACTTCTTGGCGCTTCTCTTCTAAGCCGCGACGATGCGCGGCGAGTCGCTTTTACCGCGCCCAAGTATCGCCCGTTAATGTCCCCTTACTCTTTATGAGAGTGAACGGGCAGGACCCACCGACAACCGTATAATTATCATATTACGATTATGTTTATGGTTCAACGTAACTCCAATTAAATACGTATCCAGTTTGGACGGTGGCCACAGTCACCGGCAGTAAACTACCCCGTGTTTGCAACAACTTAAATCCACGTAGTATAAAGAGATTTCTTTTCGCCAGATCCGATCTTTATAATACGTATCCGTAATTGAATGGAGGCAACTTCTTCCGTGCGTTCGATTAGCAAAAGAAAATTAATTATTCCTACAAATACTCGTAACACAATGTATTGTAGAATGCAATAGAGTAACATTGTAATATTGCAATACTTGGTATGCGATGAATTTTAGTTACTAAACTTACCATCCCCGTTAATTTCAAGTAAGCAATTTTTTTTGCAGCTCTTATAATGTTTCATTCAAGTTTCATGACTTTTTAGGGATATTAGTAATATATTCTAGCATTTGTATTGTATGCATACTTTTATCATTTTGACATGTGTGTGTAAATCGAAGACAACGCAGTAATGATTGTAACGAGAAAGTTTTATCGCTCTTTATGCAATGCGATTATCGTTCGGGGATCTTCGAAGTCGATCGTCTCCGGTATCAGTGCATCGGTATCTCGATGTTGCCTTGTATAGGACATAACAATATCCGAGAGAATAAGAGCCATTGCCTTCCAGCGAAGCTCCAAGCGGTTACGAGCGTACGGGGCAGGAAAAGAGGAAACAACGATCAGCCATCAAGATTTCGTTTCAAGCCTTGGGGGTCAAGAATATATATATATGATCGGCGGTACTACGCGTCGATCGTATACGAGACATTTTCTTGTAAATAAAGATTGATATTTTTGATAAATAAATATTCGGGCGTTTGAGTCGCGATACACACGCTTTCATATAGAAACAAATTAACAGCGATTCTGAAAGAATATGAGGAGGAAAGTTAGCTATATCTTTGGATATTAATTTAAATAAATAGATTTTATAAATAATTTTACGGATGTCGGGCAAATATAAATCATTAATATCTTTCGTGACAAGCGGCGACAAGCGAGGCGGACAGGAGCAAAAATAATTTATAATATAATGTAAGTGAAATATAATTTCCGTTGTACCACAATTATTGCGATATACCGCTAATTCGCGTTGCGTGCGCAAGATTTTTTATTGGATAATGCTCTTTGCTTAGCAAATAACGTGGCGTCTAATTGCGATAAAAGGCTGTAAACGCGCAGCGCGCACGGCGATGTATCTCTGATGCGAATCAGCCGCGCGTGGCGACGAAGGACGGAAGTTAATTCCGGGATATGCCGATCGTGCAAATTGTCTTCTCTTGCGCGCACGCGCGCGGCAACAGCGTAAGTACGAGTACGTAAGCAGGCAAATACATCGTCTCGGTATGTGTACGAGTATATAACAATATAAATATGCTTAACCCGGTGACGGCGAAAGGAGAGCGAGCGAGAAAGAGAGAGAAAGAGAGGAGGACAACGGAAGATTGATCGCGGGATGGACGAAGAGAGTGCTCACCAACGAGGCGAGTTGACGCGGAATTGGGGGACGCGTAGAAATGGTTAGGCGGATGCGTCGAGTGATGTACTTCCGGTTATTGAACGCCGTCTGAAGGCTGAAGCGACTCCTGAACTTACGTCGCATTCTCTACGCTCGTCGCAGGCTCCTGGCTGACACCTGGATTCGCCGCCGCACGCTTCGAACCTTTCGGCACCAGGAAACACGTTTACGACCTCCTGGATATAGTCCTGATTAAATACACCCGTCCAGGAAGAGGCGCATGGCACGAGAAAGAACATCTGCTTCGATTATTCCGCATAGCACGCTGCTTTCAATTACATTAAACGCGTAAAGCATTGCTACGAGCTTGAAGATTTTTTAAATCGATCTCTGCAGCGATTACATTTGTGATAACTAATGTGTCGGCTTATAAAAGAAATATCCTAAATATATTTCAACATTGTTTGCTTTTTACTTCAAATTCAAAGTGTATTAGTTGTAATTAATTTTGAGAAAATATTGAAATTTATCTAATTATGTAATTATAAGAAAGTTGCAAAACACTAATATAAGGTTACGTATTATTATATCGTTAAAAATATACCAGAAATACATCTAACTCGTTATCGCCACTCCGTTAATGTCGCTTTAATATCAAATGATGCACGTAATGTATAGTATGTATAATTGCGCTTGATGCACAATTCACATAAGATTCATGCATGAGTGGTCCTCCTTACTTACAATCACTTGAATCGCGTTTAATTTTTCGTCTCTAAGTGATCCAATGCGAGTGTTTTAATGTACTCTTTTATTATCGAAGGTCGAAAAAATTTTTTCAACACTCTCCACGTGTATTTTGACTACCCAAGGGAAATGTATTACATTAAAAGAAGCGAGATATGCGCACAGCAGTCCCGATCGGTGTAAGCAACGAAAGAGAAGAATTATGTGGGCAGTTCATCCTTCAACGTTGCAATAAATCATTCTCATCAAAATAATGTCATAAACGTGCGGATTGCAAAGAGATAATTACTTCGCGCTGTAACTAACTTTACATGTTACGAAAGCACGAGAATGATAATGAAACGCTGCAGACAACATAACAGATAACATACATTGTTATTGAAATATATTGTCGATATATGTAATACCTATATAAATGGTCCCAAATCTATCGCGTACTCCGCCGTGTACAACTCGACAAGTTTAAAGCTGATTTATCCTTAATAAAATTTTTACATTAACTATCTAATCACATAAGTTTCCGATTGAATTTCTAAAGATATTTGCACTCTCTCCTTTGTTTCAATATTAACAATTTGAGCTAACAATTTATAATCGCAATATTATATTAAAATATGTACTGCATTCAATTTTCTGTTTCTGTTTAGAATCTTAGAGAGCTATTATTGTCCCTGCTTCATTACCTTTATCTTCTGTGCTTGTCTTTTTCTTTTTTCTAATTCCGCACTAAAGGCTGCTCGGTGTTTATGATTCGGATTAAAGACATTCCTACAGCGAGAGACGATAAGATTTACAAGAAGCTCTCACGGCAAATCAGTACTTAATGATACAATGGGCTGTGTTCTCTCCGTGTGCATCTTTACTTTGCCGGCGCTCTATAATTTCAGAGAACGCCTGTTGATTACCAAAGTAAACGTCCAACATTATTTGTTCCCTCCTGCATTGCACGTTCGCGACAATCCATGATGTGGTGTGTCAACAGAAGAATTGTCTCATTTAATAAGATTATATATAAAAATTAAATTTTACGACTGATAAGACGTGCTCTGATGGAAAGGGCCGCTCGCGTTGAACGCGAAACTCTCTTGATGGCAGGAACTCTCGTGGAAGATACGCGTGTAACGTGAGATTTTTCAAACTGTCCGATCATGAAAGAGGTCGGATCAGTACACACGGTATCGACGTGTGTACACGTCCGTCAATTTAGGATAGCGTCAGAGCGTGACGGTAGAATTACGTAATGCGTGCGTGTTCAATGTGTGCGAGCGCGTACATGACGCTTGGAAGTATCGTTTGTGGTTTGCCTCGCGTGTCTTTTTTTTCACCCAGTGCACACGATGACTACAAAGGGTGGACAACGTGTTTGCGTATGCATACCTTGGAGGATTTGTTAGCTCTTTTTTCGCGGCATAACATACCCGCGGGTGTTATGACGGAATAGACGCGATGCTATGACACGGCAGTTTTCCCTCGATGGTTTTTGTTAACCCGTTTGCATCAGCAAGCAGAATATTCTGCGAGCACGACTCAGGTCATTGCGACGGAATATTCCAGGCACTCAAAGGTCGATGATGCAAATGTGTTACTTTATCGATAACGAAACGGGTTAGCTTAGCGCTTTTATAAAAAGAGACATTGAATAATTGTTTTTTTTTTTTCTAAGTCAAGTACATACTTTATACATAATTATAATTGTTATGTACAAAGAGATATTTCTTACGAGGAGGGAGTTCATTCAAATTGCACAGATAGATCACTTGAGAATTAAACAACGAAAACTATATACTGTTCAAGGAAAATGTGACAAAATTCGAATAAAATAAAAATTCGAAGTAAATAACCGCCTTTAGAGAATAAAATCAACCAAAATTGTCGATATCCTGTTAGTCGTTTCATTCAAACGACGATACGTCACGTCGCGTCGGTGTATTGTATCGATCCATGTTACTCCGATTAAATGACATCGCACTGAAACGCGCGCGTGCGGTCGTTACGATGCATCGGTCTTCATTTGCTATTCTTTCTTTTTTTTTTTTTTTCGTTCGCACCTCTGTCAAAGAGCATAACAACTCGGCGTTCAACGCAACGTTTTACAAAGCTTGTTCCCTCCGGCGAAGATTCGCAGTACGGTCGTTACCGAAAAGATACACGCGCACAGCTCGCCGTGTAAATGAACAACGCCGACGGAGTAATGACGATTTAATGGCACGCTCTGCAGGCGTAATGATTTCGACGCGTACATGTCCGGTTGTGCGCGGCCATATGGACGCGGACGGTGTTGATCGCGGTTCCGAAGCGTTCTTCACGCTTCTCGCTGCTGTCCCGCCATACATGCTAAAATTATAAAATTATGAAGCGCGTGTATACAATCCTGTTGCTGATTATTTTATCATGACTCTGCACATAATCTACGTCCAATAATTTCTTTACGGTATTATATGTTTTCGACGTCGAACGGGAGACATCGTTTGCAATCTTACCGCACCACAATTTAATAAACAGCCGTAAGCAGATGACTGTTTATCAGTAGATTAAGACTGCCACAGCCTCGTCGCATCAAACTGATCGAAACTAACACACGCGAGGGCTCTTCCAGAATACCGTTCGCTCGCCATCGGTTGTCTTCTTCCATTAAGCTCACTTTCCTTTCAGAGTCGTGACCCTCAGATACCACTAACAGGACGCGTGTCCGCACGTGGTACACGAAGATTTTGACAAAGTTTCATAGGCTCATAAGTTTGATAAGTCCTGACATCTTGAAAGATATTACGACGCCCACATAATGAAATTGATCGCAATTCTTTGCTTACAAACAAACTTGCTTCGGAAACTTCGTATATTCCAGAAATATCTCTCGATAGTATCCCAAGAAAAAGAAAAAAAGAAAGAAAAAAGATGAAAAAATACATGAAAATTAACTATATTGAATGAACAATTGCACTTTGAGCTTGGAATATTAAATTTAAGGATTTAAAATTGATAATAGGAGAAGAAATAAACGAAGAGACGCAACGCGAGATGGAGGCCGCTAAGTCGCGACGCCGCGCGACGCGTCGTCGATTTGCATAGGCTAATGAATATGTTAAATCAATTTCACAAAACGAGCGAAGTCCACGGAGGGTAAGTGGGCACCGGTCGGTCGCGCGACCGTAGAACGAGGCGCGGAAGCCTGTTATTATTGTAATTGCTGCGCGTGTAAAACCGCGTGTGGAAAATGAGCCTAATGTGACGTGTGCGGGCGGCGGTGTATACGTATCACACATTTGCTTGCATGTACAAATACACAAATGCATTCTCGCGAGATAGAATAGAGAATGAACCAATACGTAAAGGGTGCAACGTGCGACAGCTTTTACCAAAATGATCCTGTTAAAATTTCCCGTTCATGTACTATAAAATTCACCCTCGCATTTAAAAATTCTATTCTTGTATTCTTTTATACATACAGATCTTGTAATATTTGCTGACATCTTTAACTTCCTTAAAAGTTAGTTACTTTCACCACTGCTCGTTAAGCACCATAAACGAACGATATGTGTTCCTCGAAAGATAGAAACAAACGAGAGGAATAACACGTAGCAGAAGCAAACGAGGAAGGTACAAAATCGAAGGAGAGGCTAAAGGATGACAATGAGAGAGAAAGAGAAAGAGCCGGCTCGGTGTGTGGTATGCAAAATCTCTCGTTCGTTTAACGAGGGAAGCGAATCTTGAAGACGATTCTCGAGGTCTTTTTCGCGTGCGGCGGAAAAGATGTTCTTCGTATGGTATGCATCCATATGTCGAATAGCCACAGGACGGGCAGAGAGACGAAAGAGAGAGTATAGGGGCAGAAAAAGAGAAAAACGGAGATAGAGTAAGATATAGACGAACACACTCGGAAAGCAGAGGCGAGTCGAAAGAAGAACAGGAGATGCCCCTTCTCGCCGATCTCTTTCTCGCCCCGCAGCTGCCACGAAAAACTTCTCCGAGCGAACTCTGAAAAACTGCTCTGCCTAACGAACCATCGCCCATTCCAATTTAACCGGGAACGCCACTTACGCTAGCGCGAGGCAATGCGACGCGACACAACGCGATGTGCCAACCCGTTCTCATTGCTTCCTTTTCCGTTGCATATGCAGACTCATCGTACCTACTATATTCTTCCTGGGTGCTTCTATCAAACTTTTCACAGAGTATACCCTAATTTTTCTCGTGCTTATCAATTTGAAATTGAATTTATTAGTTTTAGGTCATGTATGATATAATATACATGGAGTATATTATATGAATCAAATTGCGTATACTTGAATCAACACGAAAAGAGGCAGAGATATCGTTAAATTTTAAATAATGCCGCCGATGTTGAGCCACGTGGGCCGTTTATATGGAACGGATTAAGTGAGGCCTCGCTACCGCGCTAAACTTATGCAATCCCTTATCACAGCCGGTTGGATCCTCATCGTAAATACGGTTGCAACAGCTTATAATCCGAAAACACATAGTCGACAGAGCGGCGCTCCGAGTCTGACCCCCTTCCTCTTCTTCTTACCCTGTTCCCCGCTATGCAAATACCGTCGAAGTAATGGGTACTCATCGCTCCAATAAACACGCTCATCCGCCTTTCGAGACGGGAGAGAGCAAGCGAGAAGCGAAATATTTGAGAAGAAAAACTAAAGGCGACATTATCAGCATTTATTGGCGGGATCACGAATTCGCCGACGATCCCAAAGCCATGTATAAACAAGTCGGGCCATCCAGTTATCCATGCGAAATTATGTCCAGGTGATATCTTCGCGTGAATTCTCGCGTTATCATTAATATAGAAACTCTGCGGAGAGCGCGGTTTTTCTGATCCGAGAAGACGTTCGTTGGAAACGGGGAACCGGTTCACTTAGCGTAATCGTGCGGGTAAATGACGATTTGGGGCTCGGAATTACACGTCGGAAGGGAATCCGCAGTTGTTCACGTTAATCAGGCGCGAAGCGCGAGAAGCGGATTTTACGGCGTAATCGTCTGGTAAAGAGAAACTCGAAGATGGAAGTTGCGCTCGAATGCGTGCAAATAATTTCGTTTGACGATCCGCGGAACGAGCGCAATTATTCGCTTCAGTCTGAAGTATGAAAAGCTAGCTTACCAGGTAAGTAGATACGCTCGCGCGCGAGTTAATATCCCATTTTATAAATATTACAACGAAATGCTTCATAAAATATATATGTCTATTCCAAGAGATCTGGTGATAGAGAATGAAGTAAATAAGCGATTTTCGATTGCCTGCTATCGCGCCCGATAAATAGCGCCAATATCCAACAAACAACGATTAAAGACCGCGAAATGTTTTCGTGGTGATTCCCGTTCTTCAAAACTTGATATAAATTTACGATAGCAGCGGCACAAGCACAACGACAGCGGCTGAGCTAATAGAAATTCGTCAACGACTTCGATTGTCTGTCGTTTCGTTAAAACGCTAAATAAGGCCTATTTATAATTCGGTAGACGGCAAGCAAAATCGATTAACCTGTTGCGCGCGATCAGATTTTCCTAAATACTTAAAGAAGACAACGCACTCCACATGACGCTCTCTTCCGTTCTAAGCACTTACTGATAAGCGTCTCTAACACGTCTATTTTTTTCATCAAATAAAATTAACATAACACTTATTTTTTAGATTGCAAAAAAATAAATATTATAGAATAATGTGTTAAAAAATAATTCTATAAATAAATCAAGACAGAAAACTAAAGAATAAAAACGATTATACCAATTTTTACGATTTTGTATTATAATTTTGATAAACTTGAGAATCAATCTTCTTATTCTAAAGAAATGAAACATATATATCGATTGAAATATTGGTGTCATTGTTGCTAGTCCAAAGGTAAAACAATCTTACAAATTGAGTAGCGATAAATAGCTCTCTCCGGTCGGTGGCACGTGTGCATCTCAGAGAATAAAACACCTGTTCCCTCGAAGAGTTATAAACGTTTACAGCATCACATAAACCCTAATTAATTCTCGATTAGCGTAGTGGAATCGAGAGGTGGAATCGTACGTCCACCTCTCCTCTCTCGAATGAACGATCGCGTGTCACGCTATAACAGCGCATTTTTGCAATTTTAAAGAAAACGAAAGAAAAAAGGAAAGAAAAAACATCGATAAAAATGTGCACGTAACGATGGGCTCGCGTAGGCATGGCCGATGCATGGTCGGGAATGCAGACGTAAGCCGCCGTTACGCGTTATTTATAACGCTCCGAAGGCGCGGAGATAACGTCGCGCCTCGCCCTCTCGCTTTCGTTCGCGAACGTTGATCTTCACGTTTATCCGTCCATCGACTGCGCGCGGAATAGGCTAATCGCATCGCGAGTTCGTTAGCCCATTTTCGAATTTTACGAGGTCACTGGCACGCTCGTTCCACCCGCTCGAGAGGGCACGCCGCAGGTAGTATTCCTTGTCCCCTTTTCACCAACCTCCCCCACCCCTCACACTCTCTCTCTCTTTTATCTCTCTCTATTACTCTCAACGCTATCGAGATCTTTATTATCGAGCATGCATTATCCCCCGGCGTGGTTATAAACATAAAACTCCGTCGTCCCTCTAATTAAAGATTCATCGGGGTAATTGAGCCGAGGCTTTATTACCGACTACACTGTAGAGAGCAGCACTCGCCATTCGTGTCACCTTTTGCCGCTCTTTATGCGCAACGAGCGTGAAAAAAAGAACCACGAAAAGAAGTCTGGCGCGGAATCGGCACGGCGTAGCAAGGCCGGAAGCGCAGCCTCGACGAAATAAAAAAAAAGAGGGACACAAGTCGAGAAGTTTTAGAATACGAGTTCCTTACGACGGAGGTAGCGTTTAAAAAGAGTTTAGTGAAAGTCGCGAACACCTGCTCTCCGGAAGCGTCATCCTGGGATCTCATGCGTCGCATGTGTTTAAGGTTTTTGTCGAACAACGATGAAACTCAAACGAGTCGACTGACCTGAACGGCAGACATTTCGATCAAGATGCAAACGAAGAGAAGCACTTTTTTGCTATATTGCAAATAAGCAATTACTTTTAACAGTACTTTTCATCAGTTTTTGCTCGCATATATTGATTATTAATATAAAAACTCAAGCTTATTATATAACGATTCAAAATATTTTATTATATCATTATTTAATTACCATTGATACGCTTCAAAATAAATGCCATATATCTTTCAAATAACATTTATTTTCGTAATCTGTCTATCTTTTGGCAATCTATCTCGATTCTCCTGATGTCGTCCTGATTCGGGTGTTAGACAGATTTACGCTCTCGGTAGACCGTCACGCGATAATAACAGGTCGTTCATCTTTGAAATGACAAAAAGTGGTACGATGGGGTGTCTACACGCGGGAGAGGGAAGAGATGCCGTGTGTCATTTGTTGAAAATTAGAACATTTCCGGCGTGCCCTTAGGATTTCTTGCTGTCAGGTAGCTCATGTAATAATTGTAGATTAGCCACGTATTCTTTCCCGATGAGAGATGGAGTCTTTAGACGACATTTTGATACATTCCGGTGTAACAATTTTACTTCTTAAATAAAGTGTTAAAATCTAGAAGAGAAATATTTATGAAAAATAGAGAAACTTTCATGCAATAAATCTCGACATATCATTGATTCTCGAAATTTTAGGAATTGCGGAGTGAACGGCTTTTCCCGAAAATACGAAACATATAGAGAATACGTCTGCAACCGGAGCCTTTTGTCGAAAATCCAAGACGCCTTTTTGCCATAAGGGCTGCGGCGTATTTTCCCTTCTATGCTCGGGAAAATGTAATAGGAGAGCCTCTCGCCATGCCGGGTTCCGTGGGACGGGGTGCGCACACACTGACGAAAAACCACGTGGGCCCCCCGTGGGGTAAAAGTCTTTCTCTAACACGATCGTTTGCGCACCATGTGTTTCGGGGTCTCCAGTGCCCCTACCACACGGAAGATGCCAACGTTTCTAACGTAGAATCGTACGCGACTTTTTGAAAAAGTCTCCGGGAAGAGGCCGTCTCCGTTATCCCCGGAAGAGCTTGGATTTCACGCTCGTAACGACCGCGAGTGAGCGCCTATAAAAACGACATAAAGATCGGCTATTTTGACAATCTACGAGCAAAGGCGAGATGCGCGCCGTCCTCGTTCCCCCTTAACGCTACAACGATAAACTTTACGACGGCTCGTTTCTCTGCGACGTAAGCCCCGAGTGTCGCTCTTGAACATACCCTTTTTTCTATCACCTCCACCGTCAGCGCCAATGAAAGCAACATTTCCCGTGAAACCGATCGGAACTGATTCAAGTTTTTATGGAGATTCGATTATCGTGATGCCAAAATCAGTAAGAAAGGCGATTGTTTGGAATATTATCGGATCGAAAAATAACAATTTGTAGTTTAAATTTAATTTCCCTATATTAATTCTTTATCATTCTCTTATTTCTATAATCTTTGAAAATCGTAGTCATGTGTCTCCTTGTAGAAGATTGTACCATTAAAAAATTAAGGTCGAAAGTTTTCATAACCAGCAACAACACGCATTGCTACTTGATAAAAAATTAACATGTGTAGTCACAATGTATTCGCGACACGTGTCTGATCTATTTACAGAGACGAATTCGCAGCAAACTACGATATCCGAATAAACGTCGATCGGTATTTACGACATAGTCGCGTATCGACCGAAAAAGTCGGCGATGCCAGTCCCGAGCTGAATGCGAAAATTCACGCTCGACGGAGTACCGTGGTAACAACGACGCGAGAACGCAGCAGGCGGAGGAGGACGCGAGAGAGGACTATCAGGTCAGCGCGACCGATGGGGTGCAGAATGCAAGTCACGCCGGGTAATTGCACCACGCGACCATTACCTCGCGTGCGGGCCGCCTTGGTAGGTGAAGGCTGGTCGTAGGTAGCGCGTACCTACGAGCCCGACGATGCACACGTTGCCGAGAAGGCTGACCGGTATCCCGCTTACGTTTGTTTTATCGCCGGCGCCATTTTTTTGCCGTGATGACGTACAAAGCGGGAAATCGTAACTCACAGCAGAACGTCGGGTCGCACATTTTTTTCTCCCGGAAAATCGCCGTTGGCGTTCAACCGACGCAACGTTTTTTTGAATGACGTAAGCCGCGCCTTACGATCAGCGCTCTGTCCGTTTCATTGAGCGCGCGATGCTTCCGAGAAATCTCGCGACTACTATAATTTGCTGAAGCGTCGCGCAAAATTAACATCCGGATTGGGATGTTAAATGGAACATTGCATCTTCCTTCGTTCGCAGGCACGATTAAATTAATCGTCGCCAATCGACGACACGTGCATTTGATTTACGGATATGTGCACGACGATGCGCAAAGGTGGAGAGCGACGTTTGTGTGCATAGGAGCGATACTATTTGCGAACATGTTCGATAAGAACGGTCGCGCGCTCGAACATAAACCGGAAGCAACCATCTAAGATCCTGCGGCCGTCTCGTGTAAATATTATGCTCAAACAGTCCGAAACATTAAACATCTTGCCGATAGCACAGGACAGCGTGTTTGTATATCGGGCTGCTCCCCTCGCTTCGATCTCTTCGCATCCCCACGCCGACCCGCGGGGATGCCTATTTCTTGTGTTCGAAAAATGCAGGGATCCGTGCAATAAATGTTGCAGAAACTCGGCATACCTGCTCTGAGAAGAAGAAACTTGAGCGAATCGATTTAAAACGGCGAAAGAGCCCCCTCGAATGGGCGAGCTTAGCTACCATTTCGTGGGGTTGATTTTGCAAAGAAAGCAGCTGACTAGAGACTCTTTGCTCTCCCTCTTACAGGACCAAGGAAGATTAGCTCTTCAGGGATTCTCAGCTGAGCAAGAAATAAAGCTAAACTATTTCTTTATCCGCGTTCCGCTATCGATGGCTAGATTCCAAAAATCATCAATGTAAATACATAACATGAATTAAGACTTAAATCAATCATACAATTGTTAATAATTTATCTTTCGCATACAGAGAGATTCGAGTTTTGTCAAGAATTTTAGAAATGCTTATACAATGTTTCGCAAAATTTTAGATTGATCTGTAACACTGAAGAAAACAAAAAAATATATATATATATTATGTATATTATAATCGTATTATTAAAAGATATTTGTCATTTTCGTGAAAGATATTAATTTTTGTAGAATAGAGTTTCAACCGAATGACAGCCACTGAAATGACGACGCAGTGCGATTACCCTTTGCCACAGTCTGCATCGCGGATTTTCGTTGCACTCGAGACTGCATAAAAGCAAACGTGGAGCGGGCAATGCTTCCCGATCTGACAATCGTTCGCAACCGATGCGCTTCCAAGAAATCAACGAGCGAAATTAACCTACCGACCGACGGATAAATCGTCTTTGAAGGCGACCGTATCTTCGCCGTTTCTAGCGCGAGCTAAACTAGATCGCGTTGAAACAGTTCGACGAAACGACAAACGACGGTTCTATGACCGGCGGACAAATTGGTCTCAGCTTCTATGTAATTTTCTACGAAATCGCACGCCGTTAGAAAACTTTATACATGCATATATAATGTCAAACCGAAGTCAAAGAGAATATTATTCTCGACAAGAAAAAATTGTTATTTATAAATGTAGTTGTTTTAAGTAAATTATTTAGAAAATTCATTACAAATTGATGTAATAAAAATAATTGGACTATGCTATATGTACCGTACAAGATATTAATTTGAAAAAAGTGCAATCACGAAAATTTTCTGCCGCACGCGGGGCCAATAATTACCAGAACAAAAACGTAGTATCAAAGTACGCACGCCTTTCG